ATGCGAAATGTGCTGGAAATCGGCGGCGGCATAGTGACGTGGGCCACGTGCGACGTGGGCGACTCCGGCGCCACTTCAGCCACTGCCGTGCGAGTAGAATCACCGTCCCGCGACGCGGCCAAAGCGCCAATTGAGTACCGCTTTGCCACACCGACACCCGAGCCCACTGCCGTGGCGTCCGCCGCGGCGCTGCTTGAATTTGTTGCGGCGCAGATACGAGGCCAGGACGACGACTTCATCGAGGCGAAGGGGGAGGCGGCGCGGGATGGCGCGGAGCAGCCAAACCCAGTGCCTGTGACCGAGCTCATTCTGCTGTTAGACGGTTTCCTGCAGGAAGGCGCGGCAAAGCAGTGGATGCAGGATGTCGTGGCGGCGTTTCCCCACGCGCAGGCCGCTTTCGCCGAGGCGAAGCAGCGGGCGCTTGCACGGCGACGCCGCAGGCAGACCGAGCGCTGCCCCCAACCCCGGCCGTGGGAGTTCGCAATGGTGGGGGACGCGGTGTGGGGGGCGGGGGCACGCCACGGCGGGCCCGCGATGGGGCCGTTTTCGCCCCCTGCGCTTTTCCCGGCGCTGGTGCCTCCCGCGCGGCTGGAGACGGCGGACAGGGACCACAACGTCGCTGGTGGCATGCCGTTTGTGGCGGCTGTGCGTGTCTTTGCGTCGGACTGGGTGACGCTGACGATTCAGCGGCGGCGGAAGGCGCCCCTGTGCGCGGTGGAGCTTCCTTCGTAGACCTCGCGTGCCCCTCGGGGCGCCCGCCTCGTCGGTGGCGGTGTTTGTCGGTGACTGTGTGTGTGTGTGTGGTGGCTGCAGGGCCGTGTGATTGCTGGCCGCGGCTGTGCCTGCCTTTACGTGTTCGCTGGCTTCTTTCTTCTTGGCGTGTGTGTGTGTGGGATGTGGGATGTGGGGGGAACCGCCGCGCAGCTGAAGCACCACCGCACAGGTTGCAGCTTGGCTGGAGAACGCGCGCGAGAGCAAAAAGGAAGGAAGCAGGAAGAAGCAGGCAGTAGGAAGATAAGAAGAAGGCAGGGCCGATGTCCACCGTCATCGGCATCGACCTCGGCACGACGTACTCGTGCGTGGGCGTCTTCAAGAACGACCAGGTGGAGATCATTGCGAACGATCAGGGCAACCGCACGACACCGTCGTACGTGGCCTTCACAGAGGCGGAGCGCCTGGTCGGCGATGCCGCGAAGAACCAGGTCGCGATGAACCCGACGAACACCGTCTTCGACGCGAAGCGCATGATCGGGCGCAAGTTCGACGACCCCGATCTGCAGTCGGACATGAAGCACTGGCCCTTCAAGGTGACGGTGCAGGACGGGAAGCCGGTGGTGCAGGTGGAGTACCAGGGCGAGAGCAAGAAGTTCTCCCCGGAGGAGATTAGCGCCATGGTGCTGGCGAAGATGAAGGAGACGGCGGAGTCGTACCTGGGCGAGGCGGTGAGGAGGGCCGTCATCACGGTGCCGGCGTACTTCAACAACGCGCAGCGGCAGGCGACGAAGGACGCCGGCACGATTGCGGGGTTGGAGGTGCTGCGGATCATCAACGAGCCGACGGCCGCCGCCATTGCGTACGGCATGGACAAGAAGGCGGAGAAGGGCGAAAAGGCGGTGCTCATCTTCGACCTCGGCGGCGGCACGTTCGACGTCACCCTGCTGACGATCGACGGCGGCATCTTCGAGGTGAAGGCGACGGCGGGCGACACGCACCTGGGCGGCGAGGACTTCGACAACCGCCTCGTGGACTACTTTGCAACGGAGTTCAAGACGCGTTTCGGGAAGGACCTTCGCGGCAACGCGCGGGCGGTGCGGCGCCTGCGCACGGCGTGCGAGCGCGTCAAGCGGACGCTCTCAAGCTCCGCAAACGCCAGCATTGAGATCGACGCGCTGTACGAGGGGTGCGACCTGTTCTCGAAGATCACGCGTGCCCGCTTCGAGGAGATGTGCCGCGACCAGTTCGAGCGCTGCCTGGAGCCCGTGAAGAAGGTCCTGCTCGACTCCGAGATGACGCCGCAGGACGTGCACGACGTCGTCCTCGTCGGCGGCTCCACCCGCATCCCCCGCATCCAGCAGCTCGTGCAGAACTACTTTGGGGGCAAGGAGCTGAACCGCTCGATCAACCCCGACGAGGCGGTGGCGTACGGGGCGGCGGTGCAGGGGCACATTCTCGCGGGCGGGCGCTCGGAGAAGACGGAGGGCCTGCTGCTGCTCGACGTCACCCCGCTCTCGCTGGGCGTGGAGACGGCCGGCGGGGTGATGTCGGTGCTCATCCCGCGCAACACGACGGTGCCCGCGCAAAAGTCGCAGACCTTCTCCACGAACGCGGACAACCAGCGCAGCGTGGAGATCAAGGTGTACGAGGGCGAGCGCCCGCTTGTGTCGCAGTGCCAGTGCCTGGGCACCTTCACGCTCAGCGACATTCCGCCCGCCCCGCGCGGCAAGCCGCGCATCGAGGTGTCGTTCGACGTGAACACCGACGGCATCCTCGTCGTGAGCGCGGTGGAGGAGATGGGCGGGAAGAAGCACGCGATCACGATCACCAACGACAAGGGCCGCCTGTCGAAGGACCAGATCGAGAAGATGGTGAAGGAGGCGGAGCAGTTTGCCAACGAGGACCGGCTGAACGCGGAGCGCATCGAGGCCCACAACGCGGTGGAGAACTACACCTTTTCGCTCCGCGCGACCCTCGGCGAGCCGGAGGTGGAGGCCGGCGTTTCGCTGGAGGACCGGCAAAAGATTCAGGCCACCGTGAACGCCGCCGCGGCGTGGCTCGAGGCGAACCCCGAGGCCACGAAGGAGGAGTATGACGCGAAGACGAAGGAGATTGAGCACGTGGTGCACCCCATTCTCTCGGCGTTCTACGTGAAGCGGACGATGGAGCGGCCGCACGAGCCCTCCGCGACGGCGGAGGCGCCGGGGGAGGAGGGCGCTGCGGATGCCCCGCCGCAGCCCAATGACGTGGACTAAATCGCCCGCATGCCCACACACTCACGGCCGGCGCGGGGGCTGCTTGCGGTGTGCATATGTGCGTCCACACGCACACACACGTATATATTTACTTAATTTGTGTTCACTCATGCATTTATTTATTTACTTACGAAGAGGCAAAGAGAAGTGCATCGCAGGGCGCGAGACGTACGAAGCGGAAGAAGCAAGGAGAACGCGAAAAAAGGGGGAGAGGTGTTTGTGGGGGCTGAATGAATGTTTTGGGTAAGGAAGATAGAGAGGGGGCGAAGAAGAGGGCACAAGCAACAAACGACTGAAGCGAGGGAAAATACGATTGCGCGGGCGGGACCGAAGCGTTTTTCTTTGGGGGGCGGCGGAGGGCTGGGGAGTGCAGCCGCGGAAGCCACGGCGGAGGGGGGAGGGTGCCACGCACGCACAGTGAGAAGAGGCCTGCGGCTGAGTGCGCCCCACCCCAACGAGGCCCATAATAAATCCAAGAGAGGCGCAACGGTCCGCCGAGAAGGAGGAAAAACACACAGAAAGTTAATTTCTAACCCGTAGCGGAGAAGTAGAGAATGTCACCTCGTGCGGCGAGGGGGCCGTGGCTGCACGAGAGGGCAGTACATGCGTGTAAGCGATGGACCGACGTGCCTGCCTTCGCACATGCGCCTTTGCTCTGCTTCCTCGCGTTTTTTTTTGTTGTTGTTGTTGCCGGTGTCGATGACGGGTGTGCCTGCAGCATTTTACTCGCAGCAGAATTCTAGTGGTGGGGGAAAAGTGAGGGAAAACAGGAACCGAAAACAAAAACAAAAAGAACGGCGGGGGAGGTGGCAATAACGATAAGGAGGAGGAAGCAGAGGAAGTCGTAGGCGTAAGCGTAACAAGGCGGAGAGTCGGCGAGATGCAGGTGTCGCTGCATAACAAGGTGAAGACGTATAACCTCACCGCGGGCAAGTCGCTGCCGGAGTGGATTAGCGAGCGGAAGAAAAACAAGCGCCTTGCAGGCGGGGAGCACCGCATTGAACTCATCCACGACCTCGAGTTCCCGCATTTTGCCCGCACCATATTCCGCACCGCCAACGGGACGCACTTGTTCGCCGCCGGTGATTACCCTCCGCGGATAAAGTGCTTTGACGTGAACCAGCTCAGCATGAAGTATAGCTTCAACGCCGACATGCCCATTCTCGGCGGCGTTGCACTCTCGCCCGACTTCCGCAAGTTCGCGCTGCGAGGTGAGGGGCGCCAAATTACTGTGCACCACTCAGCGTCTATTATTGACCGTGTCAGAGTCCCGCACACGATGCGATCGCTTGCCTACCACCCGTACTGTGCCGAGCTTCTTTCAAGCGGCACCTCGCACGAGATATTCCGCCTGAGCCTTGAGACGGGTGCCTTTGTAGAGAGCTACAAGACTCAGTCCGCCGACGGTGTCAATCATGTGGAGGTGTTTAAGAATCATGGGCTTATTATGTGTGCCGGCGCCGATGGTGTGGTGGAGGCGTGGGACAGTCGCGCAGGTTCGTGTGCGGCACGCCTCACGGTTGCCGGCTCCGGTGCCGCCTCTGGCATCGATGAGTGCTGCGAGCTGCGCCACATAGCGACCGACGACGAGAGTGGGCTGCTGTTTAGCTGCGGCACGGAGTCTGGGCATGTCCTCTTGTATGACCTGCGGCTGCACAAGCCACTCATTGTCAAGGACCACATGAACTCCTTGCCCATTGTGAAGACGTACTTCTTCCAGGGCCGCAGCACCTCAACCGGCGAGGCCTCGCACGTCCTCTCCGCGGACACCCGCTCGCTGAAGGTGTGGAACAAAAAAGACGGCAGCAACTTCACGAGCATCGAGGCGCCCGCCGACATTACAGATTTCTGTGTGCTGCGTAGCCAACATAACATGACAGAGCCGTACGAGTGTAGCGACAGCGGCGTGATTTGCATCTGCTGCGATGCCCCGCGTGTGCAGGTGCATTTTATCCCGCAACTCGGCGTCGCCCCGCAGTGGGCCTCGTTCCTCGAGATCCTCACAGAGGAGCTGGAGGAGAAGGAGATGACCACCGTGTACGACGACTACACCTTTGTCTCAAAAAGCGAGATGGATGCACTTGGGATGACCGCCGAGGATCTCGCAGGCGGGAAGGTGCGGCCTGTGATGCATGGCGCCTTCATTGAGAATCGCCTGTACCGCGAGTTGAAGGCCGTCGTTGACCCCGGCGAATTTAACCGCTACGTGCAGGAGAACGCGCGCCGCAAGAAGGAGCAGCGGTGGGAGAACCGCATCAGCAAATTCAAGCGCGTCGCGGACGACGAAGCCGCCGCCGCCGATGGGGAGGCGCAGGCGGCCCACGACGCCGACGCGGCCGGCGTGGGCGCGAAGGGGCAGGCGCTGGCGGCCGCAAAGGCGGACCCGCGGTTTCAGAAGGCGTTTGCGGGCAATAGCGCCTCCTCCTTCGCCCTCGACCCGTCCAACCCGGAGTACGCGAAACTGCTGCAGGTCATCAACGAGCGCCGCGCACAGGCGAGCCGGCGCCGCCAGCGCTACGAGTCGGAGCTCTTCACCATCGTCCCCGACGCGGAGGGGCAGCAGCGGGGCGGCGACAACGACGACGAGGACGACGGGGACGAGGACGAGGAGGTGGACGCGCGACGGCAGCTAAAGGGCGTGCAGAGCAGCGGCAAGCAGCAGCGAGGGCGCCAGCGGCAGCGCACGCAGGCAGATGCGGCGAGCGGCAGCGGCGGCAAGCAGCAGGCGGAGCCCCAGCGGCAGGTGACGCTCTACGAGGTCAAGAAGGGGAGCCGGGTGTCGTTCACAAGCAACGACAAGGCCATCCACGCCTCCCGCAAGCGGCAGCGTCTGGAGAAGCTGCCGCTGGAGGAGCGGCTGCGACGAATGTCCGCCGTGCGGTAGCGGCGCCACCCGCCACGAGGAGGAGCGACAGTGCCGAAGAGGAAGAGCAACGAAGGAGGGGAGGGGAAATGAGTATACATACATATATATATATATAACAGCAGGGTGGTGGTGTGCGCGGCTGCCAACCGTAAACTGCAGCCCACAACGTTCGATTAAACCGGGCACGAAGTATGAAATGAGGAACACGAAGAATAAATACACACAGAGAAGAAGAAAAAAAACGCAGGGAAGAAAGAACGACGAAGAGGCGGAATAAAACAACGACAGTCAATAAACATTGCGGTGCTCTTCCCCGCCACCTTTTCACTTCCCTGCGCGTGTGTGCATCCCTTTTCTTTTTTTTTTTTCTTTTTTTTCTTCTCTCTCTCTGACTCTTGACGGCATAGTGCAGGCGCACCGGGCTCTCTCGCTCGCACACCCTCACGGAGGAGGAGCGAGGACTGGGCAAGCGAGGCGTAGGCGGGCCTTTGAGGCGGGAATCCAGAAGTACAAAAAGAGAAAATATATATATATATATATTGCAGTGGCGGTTGAAATTGTCGCCGCGGCTGCCTGGCAGCCCATGGTGCGTGAGCTTGACATTAAGGTGGTTTGCGTCGGGGCCGCGAACACGGGCAAGACGACGTTCCTGCGCTACTGGGAAACTGGCGAGTCCCCGCTGCGTCTCTCCACCACGATACAGATGGAGTTTCATCGGCGGGAAATGTCCATCGTCGTACCATCGCCGGCGTACTTTGAGCAGCGACTTCGGCGGGCGGAGGCGCTGAGCACGACGGCTGCCGCGGCTGGCAAAGAGCCTTCTGGAGAGCGACAAACACGGCACCAGGAGGATGCGGCGGGGCGCCGCTGCAGCGGCAACGAGAGGGATAACGTGCATAGTTGCGCGCCCCCGCACGACTTGCGTCGCTTGTGTGCCTCAACCACGGACCAGCGCTCCACCGTCGCTGGTGGCGGGGGGTGCAGCAGCAGCAGCAGCAGCAGTGGTAGCAGGAGCTACGCGTTACTGCAGAACCCGTTTGGAAGCGCGTACGCCATTGCGCCGCCACGACTTCCGCCGTTTTACGCGACGTCCTCTGCGCGTGGCGGGACCGCAAGCAGGCGTGGAGCTGGCGTTGCCAGCCATGATGTGGAGCAGGAGGGGGAAGACCAGTGGTCACTCCTCGAGGCCCCCGCCATCGTCAAGGTGTGGGACATACAAGGGCAGGAGAGCACCAAAAGGATGACGCGCGTCTTCTACACAGGCGCCAGCGCCGTGCTTATTTTTTGTGAAATGAGCAACTCCATAGACACCCTGACAAGCGCCTTGTCGTGGCGGAGCGATGTGGCGCAAAAGATCCACATTCCCAAAGGAAAGCCGTCAACAAACCCCACGACACCGCCACCGTTCGGACGGGACACGGCGGCCAGGGGCAAAAGGATTCCACAGCAGCAAAGCGAAGAGACCGAGAACCCGCCGTGTTGGCTTGTGATTAACAAGTACGACCTCCTCGCGAGCCTCACATCACCACCGACGTGGGCGTCCCACGCGGCACTCGACGAATTGTGTGCAAGTCATGGTTTTGCAGGTTGGTCCTATGCGGCTGGTCGAAGGGGCGTCAACGTGGAGGCGGTGGTGCGGGCTGTCATCGCCGCCGCAGTGGACCGCTTCCCGCAGCAGTTTTCCCGGGTGTGGGACAACGACGGCGTCGGTGCTGACCCCAGCGAGAGCGGCGGCGCCGACACGGTGGTCCTGCGCACACGAATGCGACCGCAGCAGCGTCCGAGCGGTGGGTGTTGCAGCAAGTAGGCGGCCGCGACAAGCAGCGGAAAGAGAGTCAGTGTTGGGTGGAGGGTCCTCAAAGGGACGTCCGGCGGTTTCCCTGCCTTTGGCCACCCACCCTTTCTGCAGAAGAGGGGGGGGGTGGCGTAAAGCGCCGGAAGGCTACAAACGAAGAGGAAGTTACACAGTTTTCAGTTCTTCTGTATTTACCTTTTATTTAGTTACTTATATGCTTGCATGGTGGTGATGCGCCTACCTGTACAGGAGCACCGCCCTGTGCACTGGCACTCCCACAATTCGTTTTGTTTGTTTACGTGTTTTTCCTGGTGGCCTTTTCTCTCACGTTTATGCGACCGCGTTTTTTTTTTATGTGTGTGCTCTTTGGGCCTTACCTCCTTGCCGTCGTGGCGGCGTTTCCCCACGCGCAGGCCGCTTTCGCCGAGGCGAAGCAGCGGGCGCTTGCACGGCGACGCCGCAGGCAGACCGAGCGCTGCCCCCAACCCCGGCCGTGGGAGTTCGCAATGGTGGGGGACGCGGTGTGGGGGGCGGGGGAACGCCACGGCGGGCCCGCGATGGGGCCGTTTTCGCCCCCTGCGCTTTTCCCGGCGCTGGTGCCTCCCGCGCGGCTGGAGACGGCGGACAGGGACCACAACGTCGCTGGTGGCATGCCGTTTGTGGCGGCTGTGCGTGTCTTTGCGTCGGACTGGGTGACGCTGACGATTCAGCGGCGGCGGAAGGCGCCCCTGTGCGCGGTGGAGCTTCCTTCGTAGACCTCGCGTGCCCCTCGGGGCGCCCGCCTCGTCGGTGGCGGTGTTTGTCGGTGACTGTGTGTGTGTGTGTGGTG